CCTGCCTATCTTTCAGGTTCTTCTGTTTGTTTTTCTAGTAACCTCTAGGACACTTAATTTGTTAATCAAAAAGATTCCGAATTCAAGTTGTCATAAGAAGAAATAGATTAGGACTTTTTTTGGAAGGCAGAGCAGAAGTAACTATGCCTAAGAACTTTGCAGACATATGGAAGAAAGGCGTGACTTTGTGGATGTGAGATTTTCTTGTTGTTTCTGTATTAAAGTTGTCAGAAAAATAAAAATAAAAAAAAAAACCAACAACACACCATTGCAGGTAATCAAAGCAACTTTGAAAACTTAAAACTGTTATTCAGTTTTAAAAAACATGATTAGTATCTTCAGATTTTACTACAGTAATATGGTTAGCTGATTTTACTGAACGATTGGGTGGTATCTAGAAACACAGTGGAGTTAACTGAAAGCTTTGGATTCAGAGGAATTGCTCTATTACATACTTGACCTGAAGTAGCAGGTATGATTTAGTAACCTGTTAAAAATTATTGTAGATAAACATGATAACTGTTCTGTTTCCTTGTTATTAGGCTGAATATTTATCAGAAAGCAACAATGATGCAGGTCACCATGTAGATGCCAAGGAAGAACTCCTGGATGAATGTGAGAGTATTTGGAAGCAGATGGAAGAGGTATGCAAGTGATAAACTAGCTTTGTTGTAAACTTTCCTCAGCGTTTTTGTTTTGTTCATCTCCTCATCCTTCACTGCATGCTTACCTCACCCTTTCCAAAGAAACCACTGCAAGAAAGCAAGAAAAAGAAAAGGGAAGAAAAGATCTTCATAATGGCCAAAGGTAGAATTGCTGGCAGGGGTGAAGAATGCCTTGCAGTGTCAAACTTTGTTTTCAGTGTGCTGATGTTGTGATTTACGTTAAATAGAATGGTAGTGTATGTTAAAACTAGGGAAAATTAAACAATATACTTCTGTTCTGGTAGTACCAGCACACGTAGGCTTGAGATCCTTCTCTCTTTAGCCTCTTGCAAGATGGGATTCAACCACTGTTCACAAGTACTTTGGATCTTAAAAGAGAGAGAGAACGGAAGGAGAAAGAGGCTTAGAAGGATAATGATGTTAGCATATGCTCATGCAAACTGACAGTTACATCCTTAAGAATAAAATTCATCTCTCTGTATGATCCAATATGCTAATAATAACATTTTAGAGTGAGTTATTTTTGTTTACAGGAAATCCTCGGAAAGATGAGCTTTTAACAGCTCTGAGGGAATGCTGTGCATCCTGTAAGACTCTGCTAAGTGTGAAAACTTGTATTCTGAATTATATTTTTTAAGTCTTAATTACTTCACTCAATTTCATGTGGTATTTGTATGCTATTTGCTTGAGTTCTGAGTTGTAGATTCAAATCATTGAGAGTCAGAAACAGAAGTAAAAATACTTCCAAACTTCAAGTACAACAAAGTATAGACAACCCACAGTGTAATAATTTTACAGAATTAGATTTTTAAGACTAGTGTGATTTTTTTTTTTTTTTTTTTTTTTCTGCTGTTACATGTAAACTTATCTTAATATTGAACAAGTGGCAGGGAATTCTGTGTCTAGGTTTCTGAAAGATTGTAATAAGTTATTAAAAGAAGTTCTGTTTGGCATCACTTAACAGGATGTGAGCTTTGAAATATTCAGATTAGAATGGAAGTTAGAATGTTTATTATTTTGAATTTAACTGAAAATCTTTGATATCTTGTATCTCATTCCCAGCATCCCCAAAACAATACAGGAAGCGATAATGTGTGTTATTTTTGGAGGTTGATAAGAACAGTACGATTTTTATTACTTGGTGATTGTTGCATCCTGGATGCATGCATGTTTCAGCAAAAAGTTTAAACTAACTTATAGTCATTGAATTAACTCCTAGATTATATGGTTTATGATGTAATGTTCTAATGATTGTGTGTCAGCATTAGCAGTTTTTACTGGAGAAATCCTATATTGTGTTTTGGTTCCAAAACATTAACAGTAAGGTTTCCAAAGTACTTGTTAGTAGTTTTACTGCTTAGTATAATACTTCCTGCCCTGTCGTGGGGCAGGTTAAATTGCTGGCAGTTATAAAACAAGAAGGAATTTAGTAGGTGTCTCCTGACGAAGCCTTGGGTATCTGTGGTGGCCTGAATTTCAGACTTGATAAACATCCCATTGCAGTCGTGGGAGCTGACGTAGGGCACTTCTTCAAATCAGACCATTTCTGAAAAGTACAGCATATTGCCCTAAATGAGTTAAAACTAAAGACGTGTGTTATAATGTGATTGCTCTGTTCAGAGAGCCAGAATAGTAGCAGCAAGTGTGTTAACTTCTCAGAAGCTACTTTATTCAGCCTTGTCCATGACTCACTCTTCCAAATTTCTTATGTTATTCATCTGTTCAGTATCTTACTCATATCAGCTTTCCCCTCATAACTTGCCTTTTTCCTCATATCATACATCTTTTGTTATCTGCTACTTTTCTACTTTTCCATTCATTGAAGTTCTACTTTTTTGCTGTGGTATGATTTCAAAAATATTTGTTGATTTGCTGTTCTGTGTCATGCTCTGAGGTACATGGTAGGAGCCAAGGCAAAACACTGTTCTTCAACAACTTTTGTTGGAATTTCTAACGCTGTGTTTCTTCCTTACAAAAGGGAAGAGTAAGTAACATTGTGTTTTGTTTTCTACAAAGTGTCACAGCAAGCTGATGCATTCAGGAGAGGAAACAATGCTAAAAACGGATTCCAAGGTAAGACAGCATTTTACTTTTTCTGTTCTTCACAAAATATTTAGTTCTCTGTAAAGATATGGTGTGTTTCCAAAAGAAGGAAACTAAATTATCTTCACTTACTCTCTAGAACTGACAGCTTTACTCTTACTACTTTCAAGCTGCATTCTTATTGAAGCACAATTTAAGAAGGATGTGGAGGTACTCGAATGCGTCCAGAGGAAGCAACAAAGCTGGTGAAAGGGCTAGAAGGCATTTTGCATGAGGAGTGGCTGAGGAGTTTGGGCTTATCTAATTTGGAGAGAAGGAGGTTGAAAGGCAACCTCAACGGCTTCCTGAGGACGGGAAGTGGAGAGGGAGGTGCTGATTTCTTCTCACTTGCGACCCAGTCACAGGACACATGGGAATGGTTCAACGCTGCGTCAAGGGAGATTCAGGCTTGATACTAGGAAGCATTTGTTTACCAAGAGGGTGATCAAACACTGGAACAGGCTTTCTAGAGAGGTAGTCAATGCCCCAGCCTGTCAGTGTTCAAGAGGTGTTTGAACAATGCCCTCAATATGTTTTAAATTTTGCTCAGCCTTAAATTGCTCAGGCAGTTGGGCTAGATGATTATTGTGGGTCTATTCCAACTGGAATAATTCTATTTTCATTGTTGCTGGCAAAGAAGCTATAGTTTTCTTCCTTGCCATTGACTTTGTCACTAATGTTCATTCCTTAATCACCTCAAGACTCTAATCTTGCAATGTACTTTCTGGGGTTTTATCCATGAAGTTTGGGGACTGATTCTGGTCTATGATGTAATGAATTATTTACTGGGCAGTGTATTTTGCTAGGAATGTATATACGTGGTGTGGTGTAGCCCAGCTGGCAGCTAAACATGCAGCTGCTCACTTTCTCCTCCCCCTCGGTGGGGTGGAGAAGAGAAAAATGTAACAAAAGGCCTGAGGGTCAAGATAAGAACAGGGAGGGATCACCCACCAACCATGGCCCCGGGCAAAACGGTCTCAGCTTGGGGACAAATCAGTTTAATTTGTTATCAGTTACTTCAGAGAGAAACAAAAAATAATGACAAACAAAGCCAGATCATAAAAACACCACTCCTCCCTTCTTCCTGGTTCTATCCCCTTCTCCCAGCAGCCCAGGGGGATGTGGAATGGGGGGGGTTGCAGGTCCTTTCTTCCCACATTGTTTCTGCCACTCCTTTCTTAAAATGGGAGTACTTCTCACACCCTTTCCCTGCTCCATCGGGCCTCTCCTCATAGAATGGTTTGGGTTGGAAGAGACCTCAAAGATCATCTAGTTCTAACCCTCCAACCATGGGCAGGGACATCTGCCACTACACCAGGTTGCTTAAAGCCTCATCCAGCCTGACCTTGAACACTTCCAGGAGTGGAGCATCCACAGCTCCTCTGGGCAACCCGTTACAGTGTTTCACCACCCTCATTGTAAAAAATTTCTTCCTTATATTTTCCTTATGCGAAAATAGCCCACAGACTTCTCCAACATGAGTCCTTCCCACAAGATGCAATCCTTACCCCTCGGATTGCTCCAGCGTGGGCTTTTCACACAGAGTCACAGCTTCTTAGGATGCAGCCACCCACTCCAGGCTATGGTCCTCCACAGACTTCAGATGCATCTCTGCTTTGTTTTCAGTCTCCAGCAGTGTGGGGCGTCCTTCCCATGGAGACAATTCTCTACAAACTCCCTTAGGCACAGGCAACTCTGCTCCAGTGTGGGGTTTATGGGCTGATTATTTCTTTTGGTTTGGGTTTTCTTTTCCTTTATTCTAAAAGGTTGTCTTTTGAAGATACACTTTACAAAGTTATTTTTAGTAGTGAAAAGCTAAGGTTTAGTTGTAGATTCTTCCTATTTTTATTAGAAGAACTTGGCTGATAATTCTTAGCATATTTTTCCTTTTTCAGTTGATGAACAGCCAAATGCACTGTGGAAGTGCTTTTTATGGAATGCTTGACTGTATCAGCAGTACCTTTTGTATTTAAATGTATACTTTATTTCTTATCAGATTATTTGTAATATGCTATTTATATGTAATTTACAATGTATTTGAAGAAAAAATACAGATGTAGTCCTCAGTTTCAGAAAGCGGAATAGTAATAATGTATTTTTTCCCCAGAACACAATAAGATATTAAAACAAGTGATTTTTAAAAACATATATGGTTGTTTAGTCTGAGATTTTTAGTAAACTTTTCTGAACTGGTATTTTTTCTTATTGCTCCTATACTTCCTGTGATTGCAGTGAGCTAGAGCACTAGTTCTAAAGCATTTCTTGTTGAGTCCACAGTCAGGATTTTCATAGAAGATTTATTCGATTACTGGATTTCTGGAAGCCAGTCTTTGGTTTAGTTATCACACATCAACAGTCCGTTTAACCTAAATGCATACCAACCACGCATCTAAGGAGGAGTGGAGATGTGAAGTATTATCATTTGTTTCTAGTGGCTTATCTTTAATTGTGGTCATTGTCTGATGTTACAGCGGAAATTAGGGGAAAATACCAACTCTGACTACTTCTGATTTCCCCCTTTTGAAAAAAGAATAAAAAAGTTTCTTGATACCTACGAGTAGGGTTGTTTAATCTTTTGAAGGAAGAAGTAGTCTATTGGGAGAGATGCTCTTTTGCTTTCTGCTATATAAACTTAATAATTGAATTTCTATCCTGTTCTCTCTCATTTTACTCCAATGCAACTCAACACGCTTAGAGATGCTTCTTTTCACACACTTAAAGAGATGCTTCTTTTCTTGTTATGCAGCTTTCCATGTTAACGATGCAAGTGCGAGCTTTAGCAGCAGAGTGTAGTCAATGGCAAAAAAGAAGTCCTGAAAGTAAGTAGGTGCTTCCATGTAAGCATATGTAAACTCATATAAACTTCTGCAAAGTCTCTCTCATCTGGGCGTCTTAAACTGTGTATGTATCAAATGTCTGCTGATTGTATTTTCATACTATAACTACTTAAATTGAATACTTCTCAAAGTAGCCTGTGTTTCATTTCTGTATTCTTTTTGCACTTCAGTGCTAAGTAAACCTAGACTCAAAGTGAATTCTGCTATAACTTAATCTTATGGTTCTGGACAAATAAATCCATGATTCATATCACCGTTCATCAGTAAGTTAAATGGAAAAGTAACTGTTAGCACATCTTCTAACAAAACAACAGAAGTTCATTATGCTGTTACTTTCCTTCAGGTTTCTCTGTTATGTGATTTGTTTCTTCTCCATCTTTCATTTGTAAGGACTTTGGCAAATAATTTTGTCCTAGTTTTGTCTTTAAAGAAGCTGATTTTTTTTTTATCTTTTCAAGTATTGCTAATAAGCTAATAATAATTTACCCAGACATATTTGTAACTATACTTCCTTTGGTTGTTTTTTTTATTAATACTTGACAAAAGCATGTTGTATTATGATGTACTTGCTGAAACTGGAGTAAACCTTTAGCGGTAAGCCCATTACACAGTAATAAAATACCTAGTTTGAACTGAATAGAGGTCAGAGACTTCAGGTCAAGAAAAGGTGGTAAAAGGCACTCCAGTTTATTTTTAACAACACAGGAATCCATATCACTTATTGATCCTGAGAAGCACAAACCACTCCTGTTTGTTAGGCATTATCAATCAAGACTCATAACAAACTCCTCCGTTCTTCAAAATTCTTTTTGTACATAAGCATTGGTGCTGACTGATTTCACTCTGTTGCTAGGCTGATGTGGCCAGTCACTGAAAATAAAACCATTCAGAATCTTAAGTGTGAGTAAAGCAATCAGTTTTTCACCTCTGATTTGAAGACTCCTAAAACAGTTCACACTACACTATGGTTAGTACTCTGGTTATTGTTCTGTCAAGGATCCATTAGCACCTTTCAACCCAGTAGAAGTTTTTAGTTAATCTTTAGATGGATACATTGACTCACGTGAATATTTCTATGCCAGAAGAGGCTTAGTCTATTTAGTGTTTACAAAGTGATAGGAATGTGCTTTAGGCAGCAAATGGTGATTTCCAATACTTTGTCATTTGGCTGAATTGGAGTGTGTATTCAGATGAACATTACAGTCACTTCTCCAGCTTCTTTCAAAGTTCATGTACTTGCTGTGTATCATGATCAAATAATAGGAGCTGGAAAAAAATATTTCTTCTTTCTTAAAAATAGATCTTGTTGCTCTATTAGAATAAATTCATAGTCCGTATGTTTTGTAAGCATGTCTCCAAGAATGGTGAGCCTCAAATGCTTTTTAGAGGTATGTAGACCAAAAGTATGACCCTGAGTGAATTTGGGAAATAGTGGTTCTTACCTGCTGCTCATGAATAAGCTGATGGCTTAAAGCAAATGAATTGAAAACACTTACAGTCTTTATCTGGGTAAATCGAAATGTCAGATTTCCTTACTAAAATATGTAATTATTTTAAACTTCAAGCTATTTGCTTAAAAATATTCTTGGGGATTGACTTGTTTTTATTGGCTTGCTGACTTGCTTTGCTCAACCATTCTTGTTCCCAGGTGATAATATTTATTATTAGAAATCTTGATTTTGTACTAAAGAAATGATCTGTGCCTATTATAATGCAAATAATATTTTGCAGCCAAAGCTTTGCCTTTTGGCTACCTTTCTGAGGGAAGAAAAAAGTCACTGCTAAGGATTTGAATACAATTATAGTGCTTGTATGAAAATGGGAAGTCTACTGTGCTTACATCTCTGTCCATCTTGGCTCCTTTCTACCTACTGTTTGTTTTGAAGGAGGAATTACTTAATTGAAAACATTGTCTGAATTTATGTAAGTAGGAACAGCAGAAATACTAATTTCAAACAATTTACTGATGGATCATGAATGTCAGGCTGTCTTGTTACTTTGGTTTCTGCTTTTAGTAATGCCCAGTTCATTTCTTGTAAATGAGGGCCTGTCAGCATTTCAGTTTTAAGCCTTATTTTCAGAGATTATAACTTGGCAGTTCTTCATTTCTTTGGGCACAATGTTGGCAAACAGACTTGAATCCACAATGCAAATTTTATTTTTTGCAAAGCTTTTACTTTAGTCTCTTGTTCTTTCACAATTTCTGATGCTATTTATGTAGCTCTAGAGCTGCTAAATCAGCTGAATTAAAGCTTTTTAACAAGCATTTGGCTCATAAAAGTAGAATTTAACTTTTACCTTTGCAAAATGAGGAAGTGGAAGCAACCATATTTTAAACCATATAAAACTGTTGCGGTCTCTGCCTAATTTCTGTTTTTCTTTGCAAAATATCAATATTCTACCAAATTCTCTTATTTTAATAGGATTCTCTGTATAAACATGTGCATAGTAGTTGCTTTTACATTCCTGGCATCTGGCAGTACTTTGCTTAGTAATTGTACTATGTATCACTAGGTGATTCTGTTTGACGTTTGATTTTTTGCAAGTGTAGTGATTCATAATGGAAAAAGCTTTAACTGCTAGAAGGTAGAGCAACCTGTGTTCTTTACAGCAGTAGCCGCCATGAATGTGTTGTCCCAGTGTCTTAGATCTACACTGTTCCTTCACTGAATTAGGGTTATGGATTTCTTCCCTAGGAAGATGTGGCCTTCTATTCTAATACTCACACAATATAGATATTGAATGGGAAGCACATACTCAGGATTAGCTATTAGGGGGGCCGCGGGGAGTGTGTGGCAGGGGAAGAGTTGTTTGGGTTTCTTGAAATACGTCAGTGAACATGAATAAAAGCACCCCAATGAATTTTATCATAGGCATGTAGGATATTCATGTCATTAAAGAAATCTTGCTCTAGTAATAGCACAGACCACTACCTCCCACAGCTCTTAAGCATAAGCTTAATTTGGGAGCACTCTACTCAAATTTTTTGTCAAGGTTTAGAGACAGTAATTCTCTAGATAAAAGGGATTTTACTGGGATATGTAATTTAATGCATTTCAAACTCAGTAGTTTTGCTGATTTTTCACTTCAGAATAAACACTGCTTTTAAAACTGCTAATCTAAGGCGTCTCACAATTTGTGGAGATAAAAAGCTATAAAATTACATTACAAAAAAAGTGTGCTTACAAATTTATGAAATAAAGTGTACTGTATTTAGGAGATATTTAGTATTTTTATCAGAGAATCATAGAATGGTTCGGGTTGGAAGGGACCTGAAAGATCATCTAGTTCCAACCCACCTGCCATGGGCAGGGAAACCCTCCACTACACCACATTGCCCAAAGCCTCATCCAGCCTGGCCTTGAACACTTCCAGGGATGGGGCATCTACAACTTCTCTGGGCAACCTGTTCCAGTGCCTCACCACCCTCTGAGTGAAAAATTTCTTCCTTATATCTAATCTAAATCTCCCCTCTTTCAGTTTAAAGCCATTGCCCCTTGTCCTCTCACTACATGCCCTTGGAAAAAGTCCCTCTCCAGCTTTCCTGTAGGCCCCCTTGAAGTACTGTAAGGCTGCAATAAGATCACCCCAGAGCCTTCTCTTCTCCAGGCTGAACAGCCCAACTCTCTCAGCCTGTCTTCATAGCAGAGGTGTTCCAGCCCTCGGATCATCTTCGTGGCCCTCCTCTGGACCCACTCCAGCAGCTTCATGTGCTTCTTGTGTTGGGGACTCCAGAGCTGAATGCAGTATTCCAGGTGGGGTCTCATGAGAGCTGAGTAGAGGGGCAGAATCACCTCCCTCGACCTGCTGGCCACGCTTCTTTGGATGCAGACCAGGATGCAGTTGGCTTTCTGGGCTGCCAGTGCACATTGCCGGCTCATGTTGAGCTTCTCATCCACCAGCACTCCCAAGTCCTTTTCCTCAGGGCTGCTCTCAATCCATTCTCCGTCCAGCCTGTACTTGTGCTTGAGCTTACCCCAGCCCACATGCAGGACCTTGCACTTGACCTTGTTGAACTTCACGAGGTTCTCACAGGCCCACCTCTCCAGCCTGTCAAGGTCCCTCTGGATGGCATCCCTTCCCTCCAGCGTGTCCACAACACCACACAACTTGGTGTCATCTGCAAACTTGCTGAGGGTGCACTCGATCCCACTGTCCATGTCTCAAATAAAGATGTTAAATAGCACTGGCCCCAGTACTGACCCCTGAGGAACACCACTTGTCACTGGCCTCCACTTGGACATTGAACCATTGACCACAACTCTTTGAGTGTGACCATCCAGCCAATTCCTTATCCACCGAGTGGTCCATCCATCAAAATCATGTCTTTCCAGTTTAGAGACAAGGATGTCATGTGGGACAGTATCAAATGCTTTGGACAAGTCCAGGTAGATGATGTCAGTTGCTCTTCCCCTATCCATCAATACTGTAACCTCATCATAGAAGACCACCAAATTAGTCAGGCAGGATTTGCCCCTAGTGAAACCATGTTGGCTGTCACCAATCACCTCCTTATTTTCTATGTGCATTAGCATAGTTGCCAGGAGGCTCTGCTCCATGATCTTACTGGGCACAGAGGTGAGACTGACTGGCCTGTAGTTCCCTGGGTCTTACTTTTTTTCCGTTTTTAAAGATGGGGGCTGTTTCCCCTTTTCCAGTCAGTGGGAACTTCACTGAACTGCCACAACTTGTGAAATATGATGGATAGTGGCTTAGCAACTTCATAATAGAATCATAGAATCGTCTGGTTGGAAGAGACCTTCAAGATCATCAAGTCCAACCATTTGCCCTGCACTGTCAGGGTCCCTAAACCATATTGCTCAACACCATATCTACACGGTTTTTAAACACCTCCAGGGATGGGGACTCCACCACCTCCCTGGGCAGCCTGTTCCAATACTTCACAACCCTCTCTGTAAAGAAGAGTATAGGGGGACAATCACTTCCCTGCTCCTGCTGGCCACACTGTTTCCGATACATGCCAGGATTCTGTTGGCTTTCTTGGCTGCTTGGGCACACTGCTGGCTCATGTTCAATCGTCTGTCGACCAGCGCCCCTAGGTCCTTCTCTGCTGTGCAGCTTTCCAGCCACACTTCCCCAAGCCTGTAAGGCTGGAGGTGGTTGTTGTGGCCCAAGTGCAGGACCCGGCACTTGGTCTTGTTGAATTTCATACAGTTGGCCTCAGCCCATTGGCCCAGTCTGTCCAGGTCCCTCTGTAGAGCCTCCTGACCCTCAGGCAGATCAACACTACCTCCCAATTTAGTGTCATCTGCAATTACACAAATACTTTGCTTTTGAAAAAGTCATATATTTATGCAGATCCTGCAAGCTGACGTGGAACTGGGAATTTATTTGAATCCATTGAAGGCTAGCAAACACAACAATTCACTTCTTATTCAGAAAAATCTATGAGTCATAAATCGCTGTGTTTTGCAGGAGAATTCTGGGGAAGCTTTACCACATCCCTAAATAGTACTATACATTCCCTTAAGTACTGCTGTTGCTCAGGGTTGGAGTTGGGATATTGGCCTTGTTGGGCCTTTCATCTCCTTACATGAAGCTATTCTTGTGAGCAGTAAGGATGGTGACGTGCTTCTTAAGTCCTTTAAATCTGGTAGGTTTTACATTCCTGATCAAGCATTTGGGAGGCTGTTTAACAAGGAAGTGGAAGACTGGAAGAATTTGCCCACATGGGTAATGTTGATGGAATCCCTTCAACTGAAAAAAGTCAAGCTTGCTTATCTTGAAATAGGACTGTACTTCACATTTCCGTATTATGTACCAGAGCTAGTTCAGGTATAAAAAATAACACAGAAGCATTAACACTATACTTTTTTCAGCCTATATCAACTTGCTGAAAGGTGACAGTAGGTTAGCCCAGCAGGACACCACAAAATGGGGTTGAACTGCTGCTGACAGCCAAGCTAGATTTCTAGAGGCTCCACAAGTTTCTCTCCAGCCAGGCTGCTTTTCAGTATAAAAAAGTCTATATCATGGGATGCAAAAAAAAAAACCAATTCATTTTATTTTTCAGTAATTTCTGCCAATCCAGATGTACTGTTAGCATTAGGAAAAGAAGAGGTAAGTCTTTTTGTTTGTTAAGAGATAAAAATTTTTTTTGAAAAAAAACCCATACAATTGCAGCATTTTCCTATGACTACTCCCGTGGTGGATTACTGCTAAGATAACTGTATATTTCTCCAGGCATTGTTGTTGTTCTAGTGGTTTTCTTCCCATCTATTACAACTGCTAAGATTTCCTAGTTGTAGTGAATGATCTTTCAAACAAAAAGATTTTATATATTGCATTTCATACTTGCTATAAAATAATATAAATTTATGTTACATAGAAAAGTTGGTATTCTTAGATCTGGAGTTCTGTGGCAATAATTTACACATAGTCAAATCAAGACTATCTCAGCGTTACATTATATTGACTGGGCTTTGGTATGCAACATGGCTTGAGAATATTCCTGTGGCTATGGCTTTTTTAAAAAAAAAAAATAATTCTTGTTTTCTTCCTAGCAGCTTTCCTCCCTCTAGTATCAGTCACAACAGGGAAACCAGCTGCTGTTAAGAGTCACTATTAACTTGTTATTTGGTTACACACTTTCATTTGATTGTGTTGCTATGGCATGTTTGATCTGCTATCCCATTTTGTGGCCTATTTTGTTGAGGATTCAAAATTTTTTTTCAGATGTTGCATATATAGACCATATTTGCTTCTGTAGAATATTTTCAAAATTTTTATTTCTTTAAGCTAGATATAAGTTTTCATAGTTTGTATGGAAAGAGACAAAATACATCCAAATCATAAGTTTATATTAAAAAAATACATAAACTATTATAAATACTACTTTGTAGAACATAATGCACTAATGAAAGACTGAATCCACTGAGAGTTCACTGTTCCCCGTCTTCAGCAGCACATACAGCTTCTGGCTGCAGCAGTTTTATTTCTCCCTCTTTCCTCTCCCAAATATGTCCATATCACTGAGGACCATTTTATTTATGGATGTAATTAGTCTTTCTTTGCAGCATCTTTGTTTTCTGAATGCTATACATTTCATGTTGGTGCAATTAGCATGAGTTCATTCTTGCAAGCAGCTGAAATGATTTAGACAACACAGCCCTGGTGCTCTAGATGTTTTCTCCTCAGTCTTTCATCAGATGAGCAGTTCATGTGTGTGATCCATATTCTGCTTCAGGTAAAATCAACTATGTTGTTTTTCAGAGCTGAAATAAGACACAAGCAACTGGTGACAGTAACATTTTAAATAGCTCCAACTGGATTTTAAGATAGGCTGCTACTCTATAGCCATATTTCTAAAGAAATTACAGATAATTTTGGCCGCCTTTACCAGATTTACAGATGTAACCTTACACAGAACAAATACTATGGACTGGGTTATCTGCAAAATGTAGGTTTACTTTTACTTTTTTATAGTTGCAGAATGTAGCAAATGATCTTGACATGGTGCTGTCAACAATTCAGTCAAGGGATAAACAACTGGAAGAAGATCTGAAGAGGTAATACAGTAATTCAGACTTATGAACGCTGTAAGCTTTTTTACCACGCTTTGTTTTTTTTAACTGTCCAGGAAACCTACTTACTTGTTGTGCCATTTCCTACTTTTCATGTTTCAAAGAGAACAGCAGTGGTGTGACGAACAGGAGCAGATACTACATGTTCTTAATAGAGTTGAAGAAGAGACAAAAACCCAAGTTGAACAATGTTTCAGAAAAAGGTATTTCTACAGTGTTGAGTTCTTATATTGAATAATTTAAATATTGACAAGAGCAAATGAGCAAACAAACTCTTAAAACATACTCCTTGTTTTGTTAAGTGGATCAAATAAACACAGTAATTTGTATTTGAAATATGGAAAATATTGCTACTATTTGCTTATATCCTGTGATTCAAGATGTTGAACAATAGAAAATAAGAGATTTTTTAATTAAGAAGAACTTTTAATTATTTTATTGAATTTCATATTCTGTTGATATGTTTTTATTATTCGTGCGAATACTAGAGAACTGCATGAACTGAACAATAAAATGTCGAAAATAAAGGTATATAAGGAAGAACTCTTGAACGCTCTGGGTGAATTCCTAGAAGAACATTTTGCCCTTCCAGAGGAAGGTGGAAGTGCTAAAAAGAAGGTAAGATTTTCTTAACTATTAAATTTGGAATGTTCAGTTTCTGTCTAATTAGATGCAATATCTTTTTACAGTCATTAGCACAGAATCTTCAGTTGTATTTTGAAAAAAGTCTAGTTGTTACAGATGATCGTCTAGGTTTAGTTGGTTTATGTTATTTAAGGCTGTTCCCAGCTGCATATTTTCTTTTTTAGTGCATATATCCTTTACCCAATGAGATGCACAGCAATGTATTGTATTTCTTACTGAACTGCAAGCTGTGCCAAATTTGGAAATGGTGAGGGGTTCACTCTAAATTGTTCCATTTTCTTTTTACTGGACTAGGCAAGTGGGATCATATTTTCGTTGGCAAAGCAAATTTTAATTGCCTAACAATGTTTTTGGAACAATAATAAGGACAAGTGTTTATAATTACAGTGTAGTTTGGAATGTTAAACATCAGTTTCTGTTCAGGCAAACTGGGCCAAAAATTATCTTAAAACTTTACAGAAAATAGGCAGTCAGGGAGTATTTTGCATAATAAATTCAAAGTCTGCAGTAAAAATAAAGCTTTTACCATTACAATTTGAAAGAATAGTTACAAAAAGCTACAAAAAAGGTGGAAATTGATTTTTTTTTTAATTTCAGACACTGTTAAGAATACAGAAATAGAAAGGGTTTCTTTAATCCAATTCCCTGTTATTTCAGACAACCACATGATATGATTTCTTTTGGTTACCATTGAGCTCCATTTTAAAACTAATTATTTTTGTTACTACTATTTCTATTGGGGTTTGTTCTAGTACTTTAGTACTAGAAAAAGGTTAAAACTTCTAATTAATTAATGCTTATAATTCTATCAGGGCTTTAGCTTTCCTAACCTGATCTTCAGCCAATTTCTCTGTATTCCTCCCAGACCACCTGTCCTTGCTTCCACCGTCTGTAGGCTTGCTTTTTGTGTTTGAGTTGATCCAGTAGCTCCTTGTTTATCCATGCAGGCCTTCTGGCATTTCTGCCTCACTTCCTTTTTGTTGGGATGTGCCGCTCCTTAACTTGGAGGAGTTGATCCTTGAATATTATCCAGCTTTCTTGGACCTTTCTTCCCCTCAGGGCATCATCCCATCCTACTCTACCAAGCCTATCCCTGAAGAGGCCAAAATCTGCTCTCCTGAAGACCAGGGTAGTGAGCTTGCTGAGCGCCCTCCTCAACCCCCTTGAGGATCTTGAACTCCACCATTTCATTGTCACTGCAGCCAAGACTGCCCGGGAGCTTCAGGGCTGCCCTTGTGCTTCAATAAGAATGCAGCTTGAAAGTTAGTAAGAGTAAAGCTGTCAGTTCTAGAGAGTAAGTGAAGATAATTTAGTTTCCTTCTTTTGGAAACACACCATATCTTTACAGAGAACTAAATATTTTGTGAAGAAGAGAAAAAGTAAACCACTGTCTTACCTTGGAATACATTTTTAGCATTGTTTCCTCTCCTGAATGCATCAGCTTGCTGTGACACTTTGTAGCAAACAAAACACAAACAACTTTACTTACTCTTCCCTTTTGTAAGAAAGAAACACAATGTTAGAAATTCCAACAAAAGTTGTTGAAGAAGAGTGTTTTGACTTGGCTCCTACTACATAGCTCAGAGCGTGATGCAGATCAGCAAATTAAGAAATAAGAATCAGAGCAGCCCAGGTTAGCTTCTGTTGCCGTGGCCCAGCACCTTTGCTATAGGTAGTGATTGAGGTAAGAATTAACTTGTCCTTTAAATCTTGGATAAAAAAAGACACCATTTTTTCAAGATAAGAAATATGAAAAGTCATATATTGAGGAGTATTCTTTATGCCAGTCTGTCTCATGGAAGGGAGAAGAAGGTGCCTTTCAGGTTAAATAAATAAATGCTGAGCATCCTGCTTGAAAGTGACTTTATAAGCATTAATTAATTAGAAGTACTTGTTATATTAGTGACACTTAAAATATGTAGTAATATAATTCTACAAAACAATATAAGCAATGTATATTATAAAACTAGCAAAATAAATTTGCTAGTTCTGTGAGAGTGCAAACCTCTAATATTTTATTCCCTGTATATCAGTTTTAGTAATTACTGAAGTCTGAACCTAATTTCATCTTTGAAACACCAATATCGAACCTAATACCTAAGTTACAAAGTAATATTTTTGGCGGGGGAAATACAACAGCTGAGGCTACGAATTATCTTCACAGTCACACTAAGGATCCTTTTGCAGCTTCTTAGCTTAGATTCTATCTTCTCAGCCTAGTTTCAAGGTAAAGGTGCAAAGGCAGGCATTATTGAGCCCTAGCTCCATGGTTTGCTAAGTTCCATGGAGCAGGCAGTATGTCCCCCTTGTGGCTTTCTGAAGGTCAGAATATGAACAACTGTGACTGACTGGAAGAAAGGAGCCAGAACTTGCCTTTCATGAATTCTTCTTTATTGCTTATATTCTTCTTCTGTAAGGGGCTACACAGCTGTTAATATCTTAGGACTTAAGTTGACATATTCAAGAGCAGTGCTGAGTAAGCAGCCGCCAGTCTGCATTATCTCCTTTATTTTGTTGAATTAGAAGTGGAGGGGGAAAAGGATAAAACGGAAAGATTAAAGAATCAGGTTCACCTTGCATCAGCACAAGCAGTTTTGTTGGCATTTCTGCCTAAGGAATCCATATCAGTTTATAGGCAAATGGCTTGATCTGCTTGTTGCAAATGAAAATAAGTAATTTTCTAATGATATTTTATCAAGGACTTGTGCTTTTTTTCAAATTTTTAATGATTCTATTTCTTAAGCTTGGCCAATTGTTTTAAATTTAATTCAGAGTAAGAGTAAACAAATCATCAGCAAATCATGAAAAAATATCAAGGCAGTATGAACTGGAGTCTTGAGTAGTCAAATTTGCATTGTAAACACTTTTCTGAAGTTCACAAAAACCATTATTTTTTCCAAACAGATCATATTCATAAAATGTTTTGCACTGTACTACACTATAAGTATGATGTACTTGATTTTATTTAAATGTAAACACAGGTAAATATACTATGATCACTTCAGATGAATCTTTTTTAATAATTCATTAAAAAATATTGCATTTAAATTATATGATATTGAACTGGTAGATTTAAATACTACCTTGTATTTGTCATGCTAAATCTAAGTAAAAGTCTTCATCTGTTGTGTACTGCGTGATCAAATAATTGTGTGATTATTTCTCTTTCACCGTTAACATTTTTCCTGTCTGTTTAGTTTTGGGTTTTGTTAATTTGGCTGTGGTGGTTATCTTTGCAGAATTCTTCTAAAGAGCCAGCTGTGGAACTGATAACGCTTCATGAAATTTTAGAGGTAAGATGGTTTTGTTACGGAGAGATTTGGGGGATTTTCCAATGCTCAGATCTGATCATAATATATTAAGAAGATAAATAACAGTGTATGGCATACAGTTAAGATAGTTAATTGCAAGTAGAATGTTTAAGAATGTTATATCAGTTTTCTATTTTAATTCTTATCAAATTAAAATCTCAATTTCTTACAGGAGATATGGCAATAATTTAGATAAATAAAGCTTCAGTATAAGCTGGAGAATGATTATCTCTTATTTCTTAATGTTATAATGATTATTTTAAAAAGTGTTATAAGCCTTAGTGGCTCATGTTAGGGGAGACAAATGCTATGCCTAACAAAAAAATGAATTGTTCCATTTCATGCTATATTTTGTACTGCTTCGATAACAGTATTTCTGAAATACAATACAGTAACAGTTACAGAAGGACCATTTAAAGTGTAGTCTCGTGTATGAACTGGCTTATCTTCTCATATGAGGAAATCAATGAATCTGATTTGTGCATTTCTAATCAATTTTGTAAGTGTGCCAGTGTTACTTAGCATGTATTTTTAAGAACACTGCAATTCATTGATTCAAATTGCAAAGCATAATTTAGAAGGAGCATTTAAAAATCTTTTCACTAGCATTGTTCCTTCTTGTCTTAAGTGTAGCATTTGAAGTGAAATTTCCTATTCCCCTTCCATCCTCACTCTTCAGACAGTTGTAAGCATTTATATGTAAGACCTCCCTGAGGGACAAGTATTTTTCCTGAGGGAATACTTGATGAATAACAACTTTCTGATATTAAGATGCTATGATCTGGTCACTATGACATTGTTGTACTTTAGTTTAAAGCCCAGACTTTGGGCTTACATCATCAAAATAACTTTAGCTGCTTGAAGCATCTCAGCCAAATTAGGCAGAGCTTTCAATGCCAAATTAGGCAGAGCTTGAAAACAGATCAGAATTTAAAATAGCTATGTTCCCTGTAGAATTAAAATTCTAAAGCTCTTCTAATGCTTTAAAATTGTCCTTCATATTTTTCTGATATTGTTAATCTCCTCAAAATGTGAACACATCCAAGTAATGTCTGATTTCCATTTGGAAGAACATACTACTTCCAAAACTTCAGATTTATTTTTTATTTTAACTATCTTGGCGTAAACTGTCAATGCCCCTTATCTTTGTTTTATGGGACTTTTTGTTGTTGCTGTTGAGCAACTTGGTTTTAGCTTCAAGTGTCTGTTAAATTTCAAAAGTGTTTTCTTAGATACAGATAATAGTTTCTCAGAGACAAATGCAAAGTCATCTTTGTATCATAATTACAGATTTAGGATTTGCTGTTGTACAAATGTAATTCATTCACAGAATTACATTCAGTGCATGTGTTCCCAACCATGTCTCTTCAATCTCTTATCTGTTTGTTAAGTAACGAAAGCATACGTTTTTAATAAATCTATTTTCACAAACTAGGTGTATGCATTTGTATTATTTAGGTATATCAGTGCCTACTTCATTAAATTAGCATAAGTAATAAGCAAGCAGTAAGCTCTTTTCTCATGCAAACCTCAGAATTTTTGTTACACTACTTCTTATTCCAGTAATGACCTGTAATTTTTCACAAATGCAGTAATTCTTTTTGTTTTAAACAGTTTGAGGATTATTGCTTTCTGACTGAGAATTTCGTGAACTACTTTAAGATTTGAAAGACTGTTTACAATACAAATGTATGTAAAGTTACAGCCATAAAGGTTAATTTAGTATATCAGATGTCAGCAAAGACTAAGTAACAATTCATCTAAAATAATGCATTTGGAGTAAATACTCAGAATTGGGGCAGATAAGTACAAAAGACATAAACTGGAACAATTCTTCAGAATGTTCTGAAAAAGAAGAGCAATATTTATTTTTTTTCTTAAATAGTAATGGATGAAAAAAGAGTTAAGTCTGGTAGTGAGGATTTTGAGTTTTTCTTTAGCAATAAAGATGCAGACACAATATTTTTTTTACTTGTGAAACTGAGAAAGCGATAACATTTAGAAGCTCTGAGTAGAAAGATGAAATATCTGGGATGAATAGAGAGAGCACTATGGGGTGGGTAAAATTATTTAATCTGTAACACGTGCAATATTCCTCATGAGCAATATTATGAGGGCATAAATATGGTCGCCAAGAACAGAAAAAGGATGTCAAAACTGATGTTTGTTTTTAATTCCATTGACTAATTCTATATTTAGATAAGGAGCAAAGGAGAAGTAAGGAAGTATCAAGAGGAGGTGAATTGTTCTAAAGTGCTTGTCATGCCTGAACAAGAAGTGGTACTAAGAATTTGGATCATCCATTTATAAGATGAGCAAAAAGATCTCATGTGCAAAAGTAGTGAAGTTAAAGTAGAATTATGATGTTTAACTTTTCACACATGCGAACTTGTTTATTTCTAACACTACCTACAGAAGGATACAAAATACAGGAAAAAAATTCTTCCCAATCTAAGTAGACAGATTTTTTATTTTTGGCTTATTAGTGAGATGAACTTTAGAAAAAATGTAAGATGGACATTCTTCTCTGCTAAAATCTGGAAGAGTGAGGGAGACATATAATTTGACAGTACGTCGTTATGGTTTTGAGGCAAGCGATTTCCAAAAATATAGCTTTCCCTCTTAGTTAACACCTTTAATCTTACATTAACAGATACTGATTTAAAGATTAATTATATAAGGATTTACCACCTTCATGTTCAGATTTTTTAGGCATTTACAGTTACACTGTCTAAAATCCACTAAGAATTTTTGACTGACGGTGAAAAACTTAGTCTGGATAAAAGGAGAATTCTGGTTTTAATTTTTACATCAAAAAAAGACATAATGAAATTAATTGGAAATTCCTCATTTCACTTCAAGCTTGAACAGATCTTGTATTTCTTATATTGCCTATGTAAGTGTCTTATTACAATGATTAGTATAAATTTGGTTAAAGGAGATAAAAGTCTAGCTGTTCTGTTCATTTCTGAAATCTTATCCTTTTGGTCTTCCAGATACTTATAAACAAATTAATGAGCAAACCACATGAACCCTATGTGACAATCAATGACTCATTTTGGCCACCTTATATTGAGCTGCTGCTGCGATACGGAATCGCCCTGAGACATCCAGAGGATCCAAGCAGACTGCGCCTGGAAGCATTTCACATGTAGCGTGACCTACATGTTTACTTCTAAAACAAACAAAAAAACCCACCAGTACTATTACCTGGGGGCCAAGATATACCTGTGTTTTATTACAAACTTTTTTCATATCAGAAACTTCTTGTTGGATTATTTGATTTTTTTATTTAATAAAGTATATATTGGGTCAGTGTGAAATATGAAAAAAGACAAACATTTCTACTTTAACGGCTCACAGTTAAAGTTGGCTTTCAGTTTTATGCCAAGATTTGCATTGTATAGGGTTTTTTCAGCTGCTCTAAGATGCAAATTCAGGTAACAGACAAAGTAAAGATGTTTAACAGTCTTTTTTACTTTAAAAATCGTACTTGTATACATTACTTTTCTCTTGTATATTCATTTCTTAGATTGTTTTAGCTCTTCTCAATTTTCTTTAATATTTTGTTGTCATCTGCAGAGGCAAAATTTTAAATAACTCAGCTCCTCCTGTACGTTGCCTGGCAAACATTTGGAATGAACAGTGAAGTATCATATTAAGAATGTGTTGTTTGGTTGTTTTTTTTTTTCCAGAGCCTTTGCAAACAAATTTATTGGCTTTAAGATAAACACTTAAGAAAGCTGACACATCTTTCTCTGGAAAAGGCTGCAGATGTTGAGTGTGCAACTCTACTACTGCAGGCTTCCTAATCGGCCCATATTGTTTTATGCTGTATTTCCTAACAGTGTTGGTCTTTGCTCTTTCAGATCTGGTTTATCAAGGCTTGTAACAGTTCTTTGTTCAGTTTATTTCCACAGTTTACCTTATGTCTATTGACAGTTACCTTCTGAATAAATGCTGATATTTTACATTATCCTAATCTGCTTTTCTGTAGTCCTTGTTACTGTCGTCCATGGGTGCACAGAATTCTACTCTTGCATATCTATAGTGACTATAACCTTGGGAAACATGCCTTTTATTAACCAAATTTCAGTTTAGTGGGGTAGGGACTTTAATAATTTTTCGGTTCATAGAAAAATAAAGGGTTGTATAGAATCATAGAATGGTTTGGGTTGGAAGGGACCTTGAAGATCGTCTAGTTCCAACCCCTGTGCCACAGATCAGGTTACTCAAAGCCTCATCGAGCCTGGCCTTGAACACTTGCAGAAAAGAGGAGTCCACAACTTCTCCGTGCAACCTCTTCCAATGTCTCACCACCCTCGCAATAAATAATTTCTTCCCAGTATCTAATCTGAAACTACCCTCTTTCACTTTATCAAGGAATACAGTAACAGTTTTAGAGACACTCCACATCTTTCCTGTAGGCCTCCCTTAAGTACTGGAAGACTGCTACAAGGTCTCCCTGGGGGCTTCTCTTCTTCAGACTGAGTAATCTGAACTCTCTCAGCCTGTCCTCATAGGAGAGGTGCTTCAGCCCTTGGATGATCTTCGTGGCCCTACTTTTGTCTTTATGCTGGGGGCCTCAGAGCTGAATGCTTGCAAGACCTTGAGGTGGGGTCTCATGAGAGTGAAGTAGAAGGGGAGAATCACCACGGACTTGTGCACCTTCAGGTTCCTTAGATGGTCTTGAACCTCATCTTCTCCTGCAGCGAGCAATTCTTCATTCTCCCAGTCCCTGCCTTTGGATTCTGCAAATTGGGCAGTGCAGCTAGAGTGCTTACCAGCAAAGACTGAGGCAAAAAAGTTGTTGACTACCTCAGCCTTCCTCATGTCTTTTGAAGTGAGCTCTGCCATTTTACTCATTGAGGGGGTATGGTTTCTTTTATCTTCCTTTATCGTGCCATGTACCTGAAGAAACTCTGGCTATTTTTCATGTGCCTAGCTAAATTCAGCTCCAGCTAAGTCTTGGCTTTCCTCCTCCCTTTCCTGCACTCTTGGGCCACATTCCTATAATCTCCTCAGGATGTATACCCCTGCCTCCACTGCCTATGCATTTTGGTTTTGTGTTTTAGTTTGGCTAAGAGGTCTGGATTTAGCCAAGCTGGCCTCCTGCCTCCCCTTCCCAATTTCCTGCACGTTGGGATTGAGAGCTCTTGTGCCTTAAGAAAAATATTTTTAAGTATCTCCCAGCTCTCATTCACTCCTTTGCCTCTGAGGGCAGTTTCCCAAGGGATCCCACACATTAGCACCGTAAACAGCCAAAAGTTTACTTTTCTGAATTTTAGGGTCCTGGCTCTGATTTTTACCCATCTTGTGCCCCTCAAGACTGAGAATTCCACCAGGAATTCACTGCAGCCCAGGCTACCTCTAAACTTGACCTCTCTGTTAAGTTCATCCGTGTTTGTGGGGAACAAGTCCAGGCTCTCCATCACCTGAACTAGGAAATTGTCCTCAGCTTCCTAGATAAATAACCTAAATGCAATGACTGAAATCAGGCTATTTTTTGCAGTTAGGTCTTGCAGCTCCTAAAAATTACTATGAAAGTGTTGAACAGGACTCAACAGAGTATTTCACATGACGACTTTACCAGATAATATAAAGATGCATGGGGGAGGAAGGGGAGACCAATCTAATGTAAGTTCTAGCATAATTGCCTTTTTTAGCCCTACTAAATGTTAAGCAAGAAGATCATTACACCTTGTGTGTTTTTGAGTGAATACGGTTCATTTTACCCACACAATTGGTGATTAGGCTTGAGTATAGGTCCCGGTGCGTGCTGTTGTGCATGAACATTGACTCATTTTTGTTTCCTACTGCTTGCTCAACTGCCCTCCATTAATTCAAAGTCTAGCTCTAATGTCTGACTATACACATTTATGTTATAGTATTATTAGTTAGTTATTCAAATAGCTGAGTTTCATGGCTTTTCTTTCTAGCATTGTCTCGTTAGATTTTTTTCTTCATTTGTTTTTAAATACTTTGTATTCTGCTATCCTTTCACCTTATTACTAATATTACAAAGCTCAAATACTTCATTGACCCTGGATGCCTGCTTCTCTGGTGGTATTGATAAGTTGAAGAAAAAATGTTGAACACTAAGTAGCTTCTCTAGTTTTAAAAATAAAAAAAAACAAACCACACCACTCCCCCAGAGAAAACCCTAAAACCGCTGAGAAGAAGATAGTCTATAAACGAGAGCTCTAGAGAAGATGCAATATTCATGATTTTTCATAACACAAAATCAAATCTTATCCAAGTAAATTATCAGAATAGATTTAAAAGAAAGTGCTTCATATAAAGCTTTATATTAAATTATGGAACCCTCTGCCATAAAATCTATTGTAAAGGTCAAGTACAAATTTTTCAAAAATGCAAGTTTATAGAATTTAGATTCACGAGTGGTTATTAAAGAAAACTGTTAGTCAGCTGTTTCAGAAATCCCTGTTCTGCTAATTGTTGGACCCTGCAAAGACACACATAGATATTCCTTGAGACCCTCCTGCAGCTCTGCAGCTCCACAGTATCTTACTGCATTCCCTAAGGCCTTTCTGCTTAGGCTTGCTACAGGCTCAGAACCCAAAACTTCAGTGTAGAGCTTTTTCCTTAGATTCCACTGAGTCACTTACTACAGCAAAAGAAAAGCTATAGAAAGAGGTAACCCATTTTTTCTCATGGCCTAAAAATGCGTTATCAGTTTTTAAGGGAAACTGGTTCAGGATGCAACAGAGCTAGCTGGAAGCTGTAGCTCCTACAAAAATCCTGGCAAGTAAATGAAAGAATTTCAAGGCAGTAATGAAGAACAGATACTCCTTACGAGAAAAGCTTGGAATAGGATCTTTCATCAGTAATATCAACAATCAGGAAAGTTGGGGAGTACATCTAAAGACAGAGTAGGGTAACTTCTCCGTTTTTTTTCTCTGTGCATGTCTAAGTGACAGTTGTTTCACTGGAATTAACACTTCCGTAAATGCTAATATTGGTACTCTAACTATGTACGTTCTGTGAAATAAGGATTCGTTTAGCTTAATGTCAATTTTTGACTCTGCAAAGTTAATGTTAAAAAAATCCAGGAAGTTCAATGAACATTCAGAGCTACCAGTCTGAGTAAGATGAAAATTTGGTCTAACCCACAGTGATCCATTCTTTGATTGCAACATTTTAGTAGATAGTGTGAGCATCGATCGGAATTTTCTTGGAGGAGAGGTACTGACAGGTTCAGTTAGCTGGACCCCGCTGTCTCACAATAATAATTTTGTGAATGGTCCCAGTCAAGGGACCAACGAGCAACCTGCATTTACTTTCTTTAGATAAGTACATCAAGTAAATTTGCTAGTGTATAAATTAATACACAATTATGAAACACAGAATTGTGAAAAGCCACAAAGGATCACAGAAGAGAGATGAGCTTCCTACCCATGGTAAAGCTATGGCACTAGAACAGCTTAACAGGTGCTTAGCATCCAGTGTGGTGCTGAGTTTTCAAACTGAGCCTGTGTGTACCATTTCATCAGCTGCATGGGCCAGGAAGAGCACCTAGTCTTCACAGTCACCCATGTGAAGTCCTTAGCTGAGATTCCTATGCATCTGTGTAATCATGATTTGAATCCATGTACTTTTTTTAATACCCAGAATGTCCTGAGACAAATAGGTTCACAGTTTAAATACCTATGATGTAGATATTAAGGAAATAGAATATATTAAGGAAATAGAAGATCCAGTTGTTTACCAAACATGATACTGACCTGCCCTGGATAATATCAATAGACATATCTGTTAGGACACATTTTCACGTAGATGAATTACCCTGAGCAATGAGCAGTATAGGGATCTACATAGCAGAAGTGCTTTAGGGTGCTTTTTGATACCCCTTTGTTCCTGCGTTACACTGCTGGTAGCAGAGGCTATGTACCCAACTCCTCCCTACTTGGTGTTCCCCAGGCTTGCTTTCTCATTTCCTGCTACTTAGGGTAAATTGTCCTGGTGATGAGAAATCTTAGGAGAAAGGGGCACACCTGTACAGTGGGTTTAAATCTAACACTGAGTATTAAATCTATCACTTGAGTATGCCGTCCCACTTCATGGAAGAAATTTCTGTTTTGCATGTGGTTCAGTGTAGATTCTGCTGTACATACCTTTGTACCTTAACTA